TTTCGTTAATCATTCTTCTAGCTCTGAATGCTGTTCTAATGTTAATTTTATCTGGTGATTTTATGTTTGCTGACTTTCTTGATTAAAAATTAATCTATATTTTTTATTATTTAAATTCTTAAATCTTTATTTCCAAAAAATTAGGAATTTAATGATACTTAATTATAAAAATTTTAATATATTATTTTTAATTTTTTTTGTTGTTTATTCTAGATTAAAAGATTTGGAAAAAAAAGTTAAGAATATTAAAAATAATAAGTTAATTATTTGAAGAGAAATTTACTATGACTTATCTATAAATATTATATTAAGCTGTTTAGAAGTATAATATAAAATTATTATATTTCATAAATATAATTTGGTTTTTCTTTTTAATACAAAACCTGAATCTGTTTCAAAACTTAAAGATGATATTAAAACTCTTCTATTCCTACTATAATAAATACTATAGATATTCGTGCTGCGATTATTTTTATTCTATTTTACATATAAGGATGTCATTTAGCGACAATTTTTTGTAAGAGCAAGTAATGTTTCCTAATTTATAGAATCAATTATTATTTATATTTAACTTATTTTTTCTATCTGCACAATCAACAATTTTTGAAGACTACTTTTGAAAGAATCATTTTGTTATTAAATTAAAGTTACCCAAAATGTGGTGTGGAAATTTGAAGAGCCAAAAAAGATATTCAAATAATAGAGTCTTTAGAAATGTTATTTAACCAAAATAAGGATGAATAAAAAGAAAGATAAAATGATTATATTTTCTATCCCTAAGAAATTGTCAAATTTTCTCTAAACATTACTTTTTTTGTAAATTTTTTAAAAACATGATAACAATTAAACTTTTTTTTTGTTTTATGGTTAGAATCAATTTTTCTCGAAAATTTCTTATTATTTATATATTTGCTTTTGACTTAACTAAATGTTTCATAATTTTTATAAATTTAATTAGAAGTCTCCTATCTCTCTAAATAATCAAAGAAAATTATTAATATCGGTAAGATCATAAATTGAGATATAAAAATGAAGTCATATATTATTTAGAATTTAAAATAAATCGAATAAAACTGAAAGTCTAAGAATTTTTTTTATAGACATAAATTTAATATGTGAAGTTACAAATAAGAATTTAGATCTAACAAAACTTTTATACAATTTGATTATAACTTTGATAACATTAAAATAATAAGTTTGATATTCAGCTATGTAGATTTTACATATATGAACCTTTAAAGAATTAAATTTTGATCATCATAACATTTAATTATCAATTTAGCACCTAAATAACATCTGATAACTCTCTTTTTATTTCATCATTTTCATATTTATATTTGAAATTTGGATTATCAAAAAGATTTGAAATATATTTCATAGAAAGCAAATGAATATCCATCTTTTTATTAACACAAATCCTTTTTATAATTCTATTACATTGTCCTAATTAAAGAACTTATTCTAAAGTTTCAACTAAATTATTACACCTACTAGTAATTTAAATGTTTATTCAACTAAATGGAGTAGAGAAAGTTTTGTTGTGTTGATCTTAGCTTTGATTTTTAGAAGGGATTGATTATTTTTGAATTTTCATTTCCGATAGTTGATATTTTTAAGTTAAATATGATTATTTGATTGAAATTAATAACAATTTAATTATCATATTTCAATAAATATAAACTTTAGTACTAAAATCTCTTAAATAAGATAAATTAATTAAATACTAAAATTAAAAAATCACACTAAAGCAAAACTAAGAAAATACTTAAACTAAAGATTTAAAAGCTATGTATTAAATTAAATGTTATTTTATTTATCATATATTATTAATCAAATCCCTTTTAAAAATGTAGATCCTAAAGAAATTGATATACGTTTATTTTTTGATGTTGGGCTTGAAATTGTATAGCTTTTTCAACTTAAATAATTAAAAAATTACAATCGTCTTCCAAAATCGTTCTAATGCAACAATTATTACAATTTTTAGATATTTATTCTAACTTTTTCCTCTTTCTATCTTAAGTTTATGAATTTTTGGTTCAGATAAAATGAAATTTTAGAGGAAGGTTTTAAAGTCCTAAATATTAATACTAGAAAAGATAAAATTCTTAATTTGTATTTTTAATAATAAACTCTCAAAATATTAATAATAAATGGATAACTTAATGTTATGATGTTTAAAATGATAAAAATTTAAATGATTATTTAAATAGCATATTACCCTAATTATTCACTGATATAATTTATAGTTCCTAAAAATATAGCAATTTAACACAACTGACCACTTTTGACATCTAAATTATTAAATTTTTTTAGTATATATGGGTTATAGTTATGAGCCAATAATTGATATATTAATAGACAAAGCCCTAATAAGGAAGCTTTGAAAAATATATCAGTTTCAAAATTGATAAGAATTGTAATTATTATGGATTTCTTCCATAATTTGATTATTTCCCAAAAATAATTTTTTTTTTAATATTCATTAAATAAATATCCTATATGTCTTCGAAATTTTATTGTGTCATGCTATTCTCGATTAATGTACAAAATAAAAAATAATGATAATGGTAGAATTAATCCAATTAATGAAGATCCAGGAATTACAAACATTTATATCCATTAAATATGATTCTATGTGCCATATATTAAAGATACATCACCTTATATATAATCTTAATTAGATATCTTTCTGACAGCCAGAATTGAAAAAAACCTAGTATGATAATAAAAATTTTTACGAATTAATCAATGATGCATAATTTTAGATATATAAATATAAAACTGTAATTGATATGATTCTGCTATAAAACTTTGATTTTTTAAATTTAGAAAACAGATAAAATCCCATAAAGATAATTAATATTTGCCCTACCATTAATCCAAACATAACTAAAATTCTACTGTAAATTAATTCAATCTCTTAAATTTCAAATAAAAAACATTCAAAAAAATTAGCCATGAAATAAGAGGTATCACTAGACTATTTTAAAAAGTTCAAAGAGAAAGAGAATTATATAATAAATGTAAAGATTAGAGAAAAAATCCATAAATAATTAAGATATAATTTTAGCAAAATACTTTCATGATCTAAAATAAATATATTTTTACCTTAATTAAGCTTAAACAAAATTTCAGTATGTTTTTATCTCAATTTCAATTATGCAAATAATTAATTTGATTTTTCAATACTATTAATAGTAATTAGAGTGGAGAGAATAGCCCTAAACTATTGATTAAATTTACCAAATTGAAATAATAAAGAAGGCTACTAATCTTTATGAAAATAATTAACATTATTAACAATCCATTTATTATTAGTTTTTAAAGAATTATCCGTCCCCTCTTATATTATATCTATCACATTCTTCACACAATCCTCCAAGGTGCCCCTTAAAACAAAGATTTTCACTAACATTCCATCCTCCTAAACAATGAATTGGATTTTTATAACATAATTCTACAAAGTCAGAAATATAATTTGGCCTCCAAAATCCAGGTTTTAATTAAATTTAATTAGAAGTTATAGCATTAAATTTATTTTTATCAAAAATAGAACATTTTGTAGTATTGTAAGTAACAGAATAAAATCCTTATTCAGATTTACATTTTTGACAACCTTAAAATATATAAAATTCCCCTAATTAACACAAAAAACTATTAATTCTCATTCTATAAGCTAAAGTAACTTCCTAATTTTATGTACTACAATAAATAATAATTTCTTAAGTTTTATTATTCTATTTATATGGATCAAAATTAAACTCAATTAAACTAAGGTTAAAATTTTTTGTATCTTAATTGAATCTTACTGTTGATATTTTTTGATATTCAATAACTTGTTCAAATGAAATATCATAAATTTATTAATTAATATTGCAAGTAGAATTTAGGAAGTTTATTAATTGTTCATCTCTACTATTTTTAAATAAAATTGAGAATTAAGTTATATAAGATTAATATTTTAAAATTTTAGAATTATAAAGTTAGTAATTATATAATGATTAACCACTAGGAATAAGTAAAAAATGTGTTGTAATAATACTATCTTATTATATAATTTTAAAAGGATCTAATTTTAAGACTTCATAAGTGTTATTTTCAATGATTTATACTTATGAATACATTTCCTTTTCATTTATTTATAAAGATAACCTCATAGGTAGTTCATTAATATTATTTGTAGATAATTAACCAGTATTAAATAAAAGTATAGATGAAATAAAATTATTTTAATTTAATCTACTATTTCCACCTAAATATATTCCTCCAGCTTCTTATGCTTAATTATGACAAATAATAGTAGATTAAATGTTAAATCTTGAAGAACCTTCTTCAAAGTAGAAGCCACCTCCTCTATAAGAAGCGCTATTGTTAAGTATTTTTGAATTTGATAAATTAACTTTTAAATTTTACACTGAAATACCAACTCCTTATCTGCCTTTGTTATGAATAAAGTTTGAATATCCAATTAATAATTTACTATCAATCATTGAATCTGATTTGGCAAATAAACAACCATAATTTTAGATAAAGTTATTCACACAATATAATTCTGAAATTAGGGCTTTTTTAAAATTACTTAATTCAAAATAAAGTAAGCCATTTTAACAATATGAACAATTATTATTTAAAATATAATTTTAAGTGATGTAAACTTTAATTTCATTTGTAACACACTTTATTTTGATTAATGATCCATTCTTATTCGAATTAATAAAAAGAGCATCAAAAAAACTTTATACAAATTCTACTTTAAGATTCTATTATATATAAGTAATCTTAAAATTGCATTGAGACGAATTTAAATCAATATTATTATAATTAAAATAAGGCAAAAAAGAATCAATAAATTTGAAACTATTGAGATTTGATATAGTATTATTATTAAAATAAACCATTGATTACTAAATATTACTCTACTATATATCAATTAAATTTAAGGGATAAAAAGTCAAAATATTAATAAATAGAGAATCTATCAATATAATTTATTTTGAATCTGTAATTTTTATAATAGGTGATAATATTATGGCATCTATTTAAATTTCATTTAAAGTTATTTAACATCCTACAAAATTCATGATTGCATTATTAACAATCATCTTCGATATTTCAATAAGACTAAGTTATCCAATAGATTAAAGGAAAGTTATTAAAGCTTACTCAGTTTAAATAATCCTAAAATTTTTTATGTTTATCATATTCTATAATTCAATTTAATAGTCAGATTCAAAATTCATTATTTAATTTATTAGAGAAAAGCAATTTAGAGCAAATATATCAATTAAATTAACATCATTTTAATTTGATGATGAGTATATTGTAAATATAGATGATTAAAGTTTATTTAAAACATCTTTAAAAGTAATATTTTTAACATAAAATCTTAATAAGCTTTTTTTAGCATTAATTGTAATTGCACCATCATTTTGAGATTTTGATTTTAGGGAATTATATGCATGAGAAATACTACAGTTTGAAATATTTACTAAACTATTACCCTATAAATTGATTTTAAATACTTGGCTACTTAATGTCTATAAAAAACTAAAATTACCATTATTAAATTTGAACTTTGTAACTGTTGAGGATAAAACTCCTCCTACATTTTCGAACTTAAATGTTTTAGACATAATATAAGATATTTCATTTTAATTGTAATCTCCTTAAATTTGAATTTCATAATATTTAATCCAAAATTCTTTACCAATGTAATTATGATTTTCAACTTTAAAATTCTCTACCAATATCTCATTTGAGAAAATATATATATAAGATGATGAGGAGTTTGTTAAAGAATTTGAAGTGCAAATTATATTTTTTAACTTAATTAGACTTAATCCTGAATCTGCATACAAAAGACTGGCAAAAGTCTCGGATGGGTCTTATTCATATTAATGAAAAATATTTTCATGAAAATTTAGATTTTCTATTTCAATAATTTAAGGTTTTTCAGAATAAAACTCTAATAAAGAAAAAATAATCCCTTAATGTTTTTTTATTAAAATATTGCCTTTCACTATCATATCTTTAATACTTATATACTCATTAGTAGTTATAAGAAACAAAGGAATAGATTAAATTGAGATTATTGATTAATCAAAACTAAATGAATTTAATAATTGAATTTAAAATAAAGTAATATTTTTAAATCCAGAAACTTAAAGCAATTAGGAACGAGAAATACAATTTTGGAAACAATCAGATGATATTCCAACTTTGTGTTCCTAAAATTTATTCTCGTAAATGACATTTTCAATTCTTATGTAAGGAATTGCTAATAATGATATAAATCGATAGTTTGTAGTATTTTTTAAAAATATATCTTACATCGTTAAATTAAAACAGTTAACTTCAATTAAATACTATTTTTAATAACAAGAAATAATATTTTAATCAAAATAAAATTTTTAAAACAAAAAGTTCACTTATGAAAATGATTGTTTTTATTCAGTAATAAATATTGAAAAATTGTTTATATTATTTCCTTGAATCCTTAAGTAATTCATTTCTATTTCTTAACTTAACAAGGTTAGTGAGATCTATGATATTAATTAAAAGGAAATTAAATAATTTTTCTCCATTAAAATTTCATGAAAAAAAAAGTTATAATTAAATATTATGAATTTTGAATTTATCATTTAATTTTGTATCATTTAAACATAATTGATTGAAATGGTGGTTTTATCTAGACTGTTAATTAAAATTGAATTATTAAATAGAGAGTTTGTTATTAATACTTCATTAAATATTAATTTTGAATCAAAATTTTGATTAATTAAATTTATAATTGATGAATTGTAAAATTGACTAGAATTTATAGTAATATTTTTGATTATAATTTTTCTTGTAATGCTTTAAAATAAAAATAATGTAGAATTAGTAAATATACAATTCTGAAGTTTAAAATTACTAATTATAATATCATCACCCTAATTAGTACAAGTTATATTAAAAAATACCGAATTTAATATGCTTATGTCAAAAATTTCAACATTTAATAAATTAAAATTGGCAAAGCTCTCGGCTTAAATAGATATTGATGCTGGATAATTTATAATGGAATAAAATTTAGTATCAAGAATCTTTAAATCAATCGATTAACCTCTATTTGCTAATTTTAAAGCAAGCTTTTATTTTATTTAAAATTTAAGTCGATTAAGTATGATTGAATCAAAATATATAATTTACAATCGATATTCATTTTAAAATAGAAGAGGATTAAGAGTGCCTTATAACTTCAATATTGTTAATTACATAGAAAAAATTTTTTGCTTAAAATAATCCTGAATAGTATAATTAGAACTAGGAATAACACAATTTTCCTTGAACTAAAAGATTAAAGTAATCTGCTAAAGACCAATTTCATTAAAATATTAATAGTTAAATTATTTGTCCAAAAATAAATGGAAATTATCGAAACTATTACATAAAAACTCTCCCCAATCTAAAAATTCATAAAGATATTCTAAATTATTGCTACAATCATTCTGAAAACAATAATAAGCTATTTGTAAGTTTGCATTAATTTCAACGTAAGTTTGCGGGATTTTTTATATGCATCTATAAGTGTATATTAGATTTTCAGGTGTTATTTAAAAATATGGATTTATTATCTAATTAAATTAATTTATTTTACATTTATTTCTTCATTTGTTCTATTTTAACACACTTAACATAATGAAGGACATAAAATGCATTTTCCTTCAACTTGAGATCTGATTGGTTCTTTATAATAATTTAATTAGCATTAAGTACAAGAAAAATTTTAATAATTAACACTTTCACAAACAGCACACTTTTCATTACAATATGGTGAGCATATACTTATTATATTTGAATAGCCCTTTATACATTCAGTGACTAATAGCAGAGGATTAAATACGTAACCATTAAAAATAGATTAATTTTGTAAATATTTAGTTATGAAACCTTGAGCTCGCCATTTCCAAGATTCTTAATTGTTATCTTCAAAACATTATTTTGAGTTAAGAATAGGACATAATTAACAAATTCCTGTTTTTGAAGAAGTCATATAACCATCTTCACAAAGTAAACATTTAATAGTTGATTAAAAGGTCTTGATACATTACTTACACCAAAGAATGTGATTTTGACAATTTATAATTTCAAAAGCTATGCTGAAATCATCAATAGCAGACAAGGTACAAATTTCTTCACTTTACAAGTTAATATAGGATCTTAAACAATTTTCTTATGACGGTTACTAATAAATACATTTTCCTGTTTGAAATTCAAATATAAACCCTTCATAACATTGAGCACATCCTAATTTAATCTCTTCATCAATTAGAGAATAATTATCTTAAGAATTAAGAGTAGTTTATTTAGGATCACTAGCTAAATAATTAAAACAATATAAACAGTGTTTTATTTCACAAATCACACATTTGTTATAAAAATTAATGAAATTAGGAACATCACAAAATGAAATTAAAACCTAAGGAAAATTCCAGATTATTATTTTGCTTATAATACAATGCAAATTTGTTGATAAAATTTCGCATTAAGGACATTAATATCCGCATTAATAGCATTAATTTTGTATTGATTGAGTTGCTCTACAAAAACTTTTAAATTAGAATATTGATTCAATTTGATGATGTGAGGAATTTATTAATTGACAATCAGGGCAGTAAGATAAATCATTTCCTAAAAATATATAAAATAATTTAGGTTCCTTCAAAAATTTAGATGTGTTGCCATTATTATATGAAACTAATGTTGTTTCACAATAAAGAGTTTTAAACCAATTTTTAGGATTTAATACACATTCTAAACATGTAACTACATTATTATTTATTATAGATGGACTCAAATAATAATAAATTAATACCATTAATAACATTCACCATCATTTTCAAAAAAACCATGTTTACATGATTATTTATATGGTTATTCATAAATTAAATTAAAGTCTAAAGTTTAATAGCTTACACATTCATAATTTTAATCAATTGTTCCATATTTACAAATACAAACTTTATATTCTGATATATATATTCTATCAGATTATTCAAAACATGATAAACAATCATCTTTTGTTGGACCATCACATTCTTTACAAGTTGGATGACAGGTAATTTATAATTCATTAATATTAGGACAATTTATTAGTTTTAAACCTGTAATTTATATTGTTAATAAATTTGGTTTAGATTATAAAATATTACCATAAAGCAATTTAAATTAAACTATACTAAACTGAATTACATCTAAGTTTATGCTCAATATCTCTTATTTAGAGTCTTAATAAAATGTTATTGAGATTTAAATTTAATTATCTAACTTTTTGACTGAAATATAATGCCATAATTAAATATCCCAATCTATATCAAAGGTTTCTGTCTTTAAATAAGGATTATTTGAAAAATCAATATTTAAAGTTGGGAATGTATAACTATAGGTTGTTATGATTATTTGATTTTTATTAGATGTTATTTTATAAAATAATTAGAAAGGACATAAATTTGCTTAAGCTAATTAAGATCGTTAATTACTGGATAGTTTAAATAATTGAAAATAAACTTCTTCTGTGATTTAATTAATTGACTTAATTTTTATCCATCCTGATAATAAAAACTATTAACAATTAGTATTTTGAGATATAAATTCATATAAATCTTATTTATTTATTATAACATCTGGTATATTAATTATTGCACTGTTTATGCATAAACAAATTTCTAATTAAATAGATTCTACAGTATATTAGAAAAAATGAGGCTCACTAAAAAAACCATCTTAAATGTATTTAATTTATCCTGGAAAATATGATAATTGATGAATTGGTAAATTATAATTTACTTTGAAATCCCCTCCAATAATTTAATTTTTATTTTCTTTAAATTAAAACTCTAATTAAATTTCCTTATAAAAAATTTAATTCATTTCTTGATAAACATACATAGAGACAAATGTTTTTGAAGGTATAGTTTAGAAACCTTAAAAATACCAGACATATTCATAAAATGAATGACTTATTGGTATTTCTTCTGTTAAATTAATACCATCTAGACCAATAAATTAAAAATATTTCAAAATTGTCTTACTTTCAAAATTTAAGCATTCATAATATATAAAATGCAAATCCTTAGTTGTCCTATTTTCTATCCTAAACAAATGAAAACAACTACTATCTAATATTCCAATTTCTCCAATCTAAACAATAGAACTAAGTGGCACATATCTACTCCAAACTCCAAAACCGGCAATTTAAAAATCTTTATTAAAATAATTTTCTATAGGTTGTATTGCAAGTGGGTATACTGGTGGTAAATAGTAAATGGCCTAGCAAATTGATAAATCAATGGCTAAAAGCATTATTAAAATACAAGAAAGCAAGTTTTTAATTTTCATAATCTTATTTAATATCATTTAATTCTAATTATTCATATGAATTTTTATATCATTAATTAACTTATTTGTATGATTAATATTTTTTATCAATGGATAAAATCCAATGATTAATTTGTGATTTGCTCAAATTTTATTATTTAGCTTAACTCTAAGCGCAACAACTAAATTAGAAAAGTTACAATCGAATGAATGTTCAAAGATTGGATTCAAGTATTATCAAGCTCAGTAATTAATTAGAATAGTTATTTTTCGAATTATAGTCCTATCAATCCTTAACTCATTGAAAATTCTTGTTTTTTTATTGGAACAACAAAACTTTTGATTGTCGTTTCATATATATTAAAATTTATATTGCTTCATTTTATTTAAAATTTTCAACCAAAATTATTTTTGTAATTATATATACAAAGCATAAAATTTCTTAAGTTTTTTGTTCTTATATTATTTAAAAAAAAAATTTGATTTTAAGTTTTTTACATGTTCTTACAATTTCATTTTATACTTCATTGTTTCCATCACATATATTTTAATATTTACTTTTTCCTCTCTTCTTTTTAAATTTTATGTCATCTTTCTGCTTCTTTTAAACTTTCACTTGAGAAATCTATCCAAAACCATAGACCTGTCCCTACTTTACTCCATTTTTTTTCATTATCATATCTCCTGAAACGTCTATGTTTATTGTTGAACCTTATAGTTCTATTTTTGCAACTTAATCTTTGTTAGAAAATGCTGATGTTTGTACTACTATGGATAATTAAGCTATTTGCGATATTTTTGAGAATAGTCTTGATTGAACATCAAAATATTCTAATTTGAATAGGATTATTGCTCAAATAAAAGATGATCTATTTCTTGAATTCGATAAAGATTTAGTGTTTTTTTTATGATAAGGAATTAAGAAAATGAACATGATATTAAATATTATTTTATGTTTAAGAATTTTAATTTTATAAATCATAAAAATTATTTATTTAATTTTAAAGTGAAAATTGATATCTGGGATTTTTATAATTTAAAAATAGATAAATATTCTAAATTTAAACTTAATATTTATTATAATAAATAACTCTAAATCTAGAAAAGTAAAACCTTTGCTTGAAAGAAAAATTTCTTTAATTATTACTAATTTAAAAAATATATCTAACTCGATTATTTCTTATTGTTTAAAAACTTCTAAAAAGCCCAATATCTAAAGAAATAAACAATATTTTATTTTCTATTTATATTTTAATTCTTTAAACCTAACTTGAGTCCAATAATGTATTCAAAAATACACTTACCAGTGAGACCTCTTTTTCAAGAATTATAAAAAATATCTTAAAATTGTTATTATTTTTAAATATAAAATTCAATTTTCTTGGTACTTTCTTATTTAGATTTGTTTTGTTTTCCAATCCCAAGTGGCTAGATATTCACCATTGTAGCTTAATGATCCAAAAATAAAATAATGGTCAAAATTGATTGATTATTCAAGAACAAATTCTTGATTTAATTTATATCTCAATATATTTATATGATAACCATTCTTGTTAATTAATAATTGTTTTTCCCTTATATACTATTGAGGAAAGAATTCATAGCAATATATTCCATTATAAAGTCCTATTTCTTTAGTTTTTATAAATTTTCCATCATTATCATTTAATTCATAAACAAACAAATTCTCATCATTATTAGGTTAAAAAACAAATATATTATTATTAATAAAACATAATCTAAATCCATATAAATCAACATTTATTGATTACATCTTTGTTAAAAATTATGTATCTCTGAAATAATGTATGGAAAATACTAAAATTTGATTATCATGTCCACAAGAGATTAGTTTATTTTAATTTTCATTAATGCTAATTCCATATACAGCACTAGAATGATCAGTTAATTTTTATGAGCAAAGCCAAAAATTCTCTTTTTTAATCCAAACATTCATAGTGCTATCATAGCTACCTGTAATAATTAGATTTTCATCAGAATTTATTGTGTAGCATAGAATACCCTTCAAATGATTTACTAATTTTAAAATTTTTAAAGGTTTTGCTAATAAGCACTGAGACCATATAGATATTGAACCATCTAAGCTTGAAGAAACCAAGTGATTTGACTTGAGCATAAATTTTAAAATAGAAATCTCATTTCTATGACCAAATAATTTATTAATTAAATTTATGCTATTCAAGGTGAAGCTGTAGACTTTTATTATTTGCTCTTCTCCAACTGCTATAGTTTTGCAACCATTACTAAAATCTATTGAATAACAATTTTCAATTTATTCTATTGATACTTATTATTGTTATTAATATATAGCTTTCATTTTATCTGAATTCTCTTGGTTATTACTAACTACTTTCTTTTTTATAAACTAAATTTTCATGAAATTTCTAAATGTTTACAATTTAATTTTATTAGACACTGCATTAAATTACCTATTAAAATAAACAAATAAAAATAAATTCTTATTGATATCAATAATATATGATTATAAAAACACTGCTATATTTATTCAAACATCTTATTGAATTTGTTTAGATAACAATTCTATTTACTCTATTCTTTTTTGTAGTATTTAATCCCTCATTTTATTAATTTTAGTGAAATATTAAAGTAAGAATTATTAGGAATATTATTACTAAAAGTTTATTAGCTTTGGTATAAACCCTGCAGATTGTATTACTTCAAAAAAATAATGAATTCATGAAAATGGATAGAGATTTCATAAAAGGTCTACCAAACTGATAATAATACTAATAAGTATCAAATTATGGAAAAGATTTTATTGATTTAACTGCCCAAGCTTAAGTAACTATTAAGACCTGATTAAAATTCAGAATTATTTATAAATTATACTTAATTTTTTTGTAATTCTATTAATAAAATTTTTGTATTTCTTCTTTCAAAACATATTAATTTCTTTTAAATAAATGAAATCATGGTAGAATAAGTTAATAATTGCATAAAAAGTGAGAAGAAATGATGATTATATTAATAGAATTAAGTACTTTGAGATAAATCAATATTTATAAACTTAAGTAATACAAGATCATCTATTATATGAATTTCCATAAAGTGAATGCTTTAGTTTAGCCTAGTTGATTGAATCAATGGTACTAAAGTTTATTATTTTAGAAATTCAATTTCACTAAAATTTATAAAGGATAGTTGTTAATTATTATTTTAGAAGTGCTATATCATCTTTAAAGATTACATTAAAACACAAAATTATCTCATGGAAAATTAATACCATAGAACATTATTTTCTAATTAACAAATGATCCAAACAGATAATTAACAATCGAATAGACTAAATTTTCTATAAAGTAAGTTTACTTTATAAATTATCAACTTATTGAAGATCTTAATTATTAAATAAATGTATCTAAAGATATTTTAGACATTGTTGATTGTTCTATTGCACTTATAAAAGCAATTTAAGATTAGAATTGCTAATTATTATAGTACATTGAAAAATTTATGATAAATTGTAAAAATCTTTAAAATGAGGACAATTTAGATACTCTAGTTAATTTTTTTAAATTATAAATTAATGAGTAACAATATTATTATATTAGATGTGTTGATCTAAAAGAGCAAAAAGTAAAAAAAGTGATAGTTTATACTTCATCTGATTAACTAAATGTTCAAGCTATTTAATGTTAAGAATTGGATGAATGTTTTTTTAATTTTCTATAAAAAAGAACTCGAGTAAAAAATGACATCTCAAACTTTATTGAAAGTCTTTTTGAACAGTAAGTGACAAATAAAATAAAATATCAGAATAATAAAATAAAAAATGATGAATTATAACAACAACATTATGACACCTCTAAATTAAATTAGGATGAATTGAGGATTTTTAACATATTTGATTCAATTATGAAACAAAACATGATGAAAACAATTTGGGAGAAATACGGATAATTTTTAGAATCTTAGGATTCGATTAATGATGATCAATTTGAAAAAATTGTGGATGCCTTAAATCAAAATAATAAAGCAATTTTAACTAATAGTTTATCACTTGTTTTATAAGAATTTAAAAATGCTAATAAAATAAACGATATAATGAAAGAAGAAATAGAAAAGAATTATAAATTTGAAATTAAATACGATAAGTAAAAAGCAGAAGATCTATTTATTTTGGAATTATTAATTGAAGCATAAAATTATGATTCAAGGGATATTAAAAGCTTTATTAATACAATCAAACTCAATGTCAAATAAGAATTATAAGAGCATTATAATGATATTTTAATTCTAGAAATCTTAAAATTAATAGATAATTTGATTTGATTTAAATATTAAAAGATTTTTATTTAAACATAAAACAAACTATTATATATCAATTTAAAATTACAATTCTTTTAACGACTGCTAGAGTGTTATTAGTTAAGGAATTCTCAAAATATTTGGCTTAAATATTAAAATAATTTAATCATTAGAAAAATAAAATTATTCTGATAAATTTTGTAACATAAAAACTTAATCCACATGTTTCTTTAGCAAATATTTTTCTGGTCTTCCTACTGAAATTAATATTTTTTCGTTATTTTATTTACTTATAATTTCATGCCATCAATTTCGAATCTCCTCTGCATTCACTCTAATTCATACAATTTATTATTATTAGTTAAATTTTTAATTATTTAAGTCTAGCTTTAATATAAAAATGAAAATAGAGCATTTTTATTTTTTCGGAGAGATTTTATTCCTGACCAAGATTATTTTTGTGAATCTTCAATATTTATATTGGTTTTTATTTATTAATTATTGCCCAAGAATGTGCTAATAAATAAATAAACTATTTTTTCTATTTTGCATAGAAAACCAATCAAACAAAATACTTGACACAAGAAAAATCAATGCATAGGAATTTGAACCATATAAAAACATCATGTAAGTAGTTAACAAAAGTTCTTGATTCTATCAAATGCAAAAATCAATACTATTTTTCTGATTTTGTATATCAGTAGATTCATTGCTTACTTTTGAAATCGATTGACTTTATTTATGGGTTATGTTTTATTAGAGTAATATATAGAGAAGAAGGGATAAAAAAGAAATACTAATACAGAAATAAAATTCTAGAGTATTAAAGGAATATGAATTTAAATTTTATTATATTGAATTGATTATAAGCCAATCAGAATAAAGTCAGTTAATGATTTGTTAAATCAATAATTAAGATATTTTCAAAATGAAAATGAATAAGATCAAATTATAATGAATGGAAAAATAATTATTATAAGATTTTAAATCTAAAATAATTATGTTATCGTAAAAAAGTGGATTAAAGTTTCTTAAAAATTTTCTTATTTCCATATTCAAAAGCATATACATTCAAAGTATTTACTGGTGTATTTATCTTATTAAAGTAAATATTTCATTGCATGAAGTTCATATCTAAGTAGTTTTTTGTTTGATTTTGAAATTATTTTTATTATTCCATGTAGTTGAATAATTTAATTTATTTATTTTATAAAATTAATAATATTATTTATATACTTTGAATTATCAAATCAGATTAAATCTAGTTTCAATTAGCAGTATATAATATACATAAACCTAACTGATTACAATTCCAATTTCAAATTAATACCATAATTTTCAATTGAATTATCGAAGAAATTAATAGATTCTTAAAAACTAAATAATTTAACTACAACAAAATTTAATTAATAACTTTTCTACTAAAGAATTATTCGTATTTTATGATACCAAAAAAATCAATTCTGAAAGAAACTTTGAATCCATTTTAGTTGCTTAATCAAAGTATTCTAAAGTTATCCAAAATAGAATAGGAACAAAAACTATTCAATATAATAAGGCTATACCTATTTAAGGAAGTTAAATTTAATAAATATCTTTAATTTCTTATCTAAATTAAACATCTGGATTCAATTAAATTAATTAATCAAAACATTTTATAGCTCTTAGATATTTTTATTAAGTTATTNTTTTATTTAAACATAAAACAAACTATTATATATCAATTTAAAATTACAATTCTTTTAACGACTGCTAGAGTGTTATTAGTTAAGGAATTCTCAAAATATTTGGCTTAAATATTAAAATAATTTAATCATTAGAAAAATAAAATTATTCTGATAAATTTTGTAACATAAAAACTTAATCCACATGTTTCTTTAGCAAATATTTTTCTGGTCTTCCTACTGAAATTAATATTTTTTCGTTATTTTATTTACTTATAATTTCATGCCATCAATTTCGAATCTCCTCTGCATTCACTCTAATTCATACAATTTATTATTATTAGTTAAATTTTTAATTATTTAAGTCTAGCTTTAATATAAAAATGAAAATAGAGCATTTTTATTTTTTCGGAGAGATTTTATTCCTGACCAAGATTATTTTTGTGAATCTTCAATATTTATATTGGTTTTTATTTATTAATTATTGCCCAAGAATGTGCTAATAAATAAATAAACTATTTTTTCTATTTTGCATAGAAAACCAATCAAACAAAATACTTGACACAAGAAAAATCAATGCATAGGAATTTGAACCATATAAAAACATCATGTAAGTAGTTAACAAAAGTTCTTGATTCTATCAAATGCAAAAATCAATACTATTTTTCTGATTTTGTATATCAGTAGATTCATTGCTTACTTTTGAAATCGATTGACTTTATTTATGGGTTATGTTTTATTAGAGTAATATATAGAGAAGAAGGGATAAAAAAGAAATACTAATACAGAAATAAAATTCTAGAGTATTAAAGGAATATGAATTTAAATTTTATTATATTGAATTGATTATAAGCCAATCAGAATAAAGTCAGTTAATGATTTGTTAAATCAATAATTAAGATATTTTCAAAATGAAAATGAATAAGATCAAATTATAATGAATGGAAAAATAATTATTATAAGATTTTAAATCTAAAATAATTATGTTATCGTAAAAAAGTGGATTAAAGTTTCTTAAAAATTTTCTTATTTCCATATTCAAAAGCATATACATTCAAAGTATTTACTGGTGTATTTATCTTATTAAAGTAAATATTTCATTGCATGAAGTTCATATCTAAGTAGTTTTTTGTTTGATTTTGAAATTATTTTTATTATTCCATGTAGTTGAATAATTTAATTTATTTATTTTATAAAATTAATAATATTATTTATATACTTTGAATTATCAAATCAGATTAAATCTAGTTTCAATTAGCAGTATATAATATACATAAACCTAACTGATTACAATTCCAATTTCAAATTAATACCATAATTTTCAATTGAATTATCGAAGAAATTAATAGATTCTTAAAAACTAAATAATTTAACTACAACAAAATTTAATTAATAACTTTTCTACTAAAGAATTATTCGTATTTTATGATACCAAAAAAATCAATTCTGAAAGAAACTTTGAATCCATTTTAGTTGCTTAATCAAAGTATTCTAAAGTTATCCAAAATAGAATAGGAACAAAAACTATTCAATATAATAAGGCTATACCTATTTAAGGAAGTTAAATTTAATAAATATCTTTAATTTCTTATCTAAATTAAACATCTGGATTCAATTAAATTAATTAATCAAAACATTTTATAGCTCTTAGATATTTTTATTAAGTTATTATTGAGATCAAAATATTTATGAAATAATAATGCCGATCCGTAATAGATACTATTATTTATTTTATAAAGAACCTTTGTTAGAAAATGTTTTATCATTTTTAGGATACAATTGAAGTAATATCAAACTATTCTATGGTTTATTTTGTGTTTCCTAAATTTAATAATGCTAATCCTTTGTTATTTTTATTATAAATATACCTTTGTTGGCACTATCTATTTTAGGATCTATTTGAAGTGATTTGTCACAATATTCAATACCTCCTTTGTTAAATTCAATAATTTAATAATTATTTGGATTTATAAAGATGACTTTATCAAAGCATTCAATCGCTTCTTCCCATCTTTCTAATTAGTTTAAGTATTTTAACTAATTATATAGGTTATTAATAAACTCCCTATTGAGACTTATTGTTATTTAATTTTGTTTACGAATATTATCGAATTTTTCAGTTCGTGCTATTAGTCTTGTGCAAGAAAATCAATATATATAAAAATTCAAACTTAGAATTTCCATCTACAAAACGGTTTATATAATGTAATAATTTTCAGTTATATTTTCTATATCAATGATAAATCATATTTGATCAATTATGATTAATAGTTGATCTGTCATTATAATTCTTTTATAGATAATTTACTTATATTTCCCTAAGCTAAGTTTAGATGTGATTTTGGCATCAGTTAATAAATTTATTCGTAAGTAACTTTAATCAATGTATATAGAATTTTGATTTTTGAATATTGAGCTTGACCCTTCTTGGCTATTCTTGAATTTTCTAATCAATTTTCGTTTTTTTAAATAACTTAAATAGATATAATCAACCTCAAGATCCCATTCTATAAGAAATACATTTTAAAAAATCACATTATAACATTGACCTGCTTAACTTCTTTGCTTTTATAAAATTTTGCTAGAAGGATAATTGATAATATAGTTAGAATCCTATGAAACTAAATATATTAAGTCTGAATGCAATTTATAAGCTTCACGAATAAATTGATCTTTGAGAGATTTATTAAAAATATAGGAAGATGTTACTTTTCTTTCGATTATTTTTTAGAATGTAAATATTATTATTTGAATCTACAGTGAGTAATTCTGCAAAATTTTCTTCGATGAACTATTTATTATGTATTTTTTCTAATTCCATCAAATAAATTTTATAGGCCTAACAATAGATGATATATTTAGAATCTGACGTAAACATAAAGTTAGAATAATATTATTCCTCTTAATACAATATTGTTTAAGTTTAAATATTGAAGATCAAGTGAATCGAAAAAACTGGAGATGACTTAAAAATAATTATTTAATATACATATTAATTAAGCCAGCATAATTTACAACATACACATAAAGTAGGGTATTGAAGAGTATGCTTAAATCAAATTTATTTTTAGCTCTGATAGAATAAATATAAGATATCATAAGGATGACATTAAATTAGGAAACTAAAAATGTGATCAATGTAATTAGTTTTAGATAAAGTAAGGGAATTTTACTAATATTTGATAATTGGCAGTCTAAATCACTTGCTAATTAATAAGAACTATTATTAGTCTATTCTATAAATTAAAATGATTAAGAAAAGTTGATATTTAATGTTAGTATCACTGAAAAAGCCTACAAATAATTTATCATCATTTTAAGTAATATGCTCTCATGATCGTAAATAAATTTTAATAAACTTTTAGTTTTATACTCAATACAAATATAATCCTAGTTATTGCCTTGAATTTATTGAAGGATATTTTAATCATGTTTAATTGGAGATTGTTAAAAATGTCCTGAATCTCTTAATTGTAAGACTTGCTTTCAATAAAGCATTGGATATAACGATGTATGGAAATAAAAAACTGCTCTATTCAATCAGTTCCTTAAAGTTAGATTATAATCAGATTTCTTTGTAATTTATTTAATTTATATTTAAAAGTTTGCTTACCATGATCAAAGTTAGAATCTTTAAGAATATGAAATAGTTTGCTTTTCATGTTTTGATGGCTTTGTTCTCATAAAAGGTAAATGTATATAATATTGTGATTCTAATTATGAAACATTATGGTTTTAAAAGTATTGATTTAGAGTTAGAGAAAATTGTAATTTCATCTCTCTAACTTGACTACACTCTTGTTAATTTTTAATGTGATTAATAAAATTCAATATAATCATGTTCAGCTTAAGAATACTAAATTTGATAACTCTAATTTGAAAAGTATTTTTACCTTTTAATTTGATCCAAAAAGAATTTAATTAGAATTTATGACTTTTCTATCCTTAATAAATCAATTAATTTTGAGAATTTGATTATTAATTCTGAACTATTTAATAGTTCATTATTTACAACCTCAACAAAAGTTTAGCTTTTTACTATTACTAATTTCTTTGCATCTGGCATATTGGAAAAGACATAACTTTTCATCAATTTAAGAAATGTTGTATCAACAGAAATATATAATTTTAAAATAGAGTCGAGGAGTTTGAATGAATGGTCCTTTTTAGTATTAGAGAAGCAAGCAAAAATTTATGAATTCTATATACTTGAATGCTAAACCTAAGGTCGATCATCATTTATTAATAATAATTTTCTAAAAAAATCAGCTCCCAACACTTTTTAGCTAAGATTAAGGAGATGCGATTCTAAATTAAATCAAAGTTTTAAATGGAACTGGTTTAAACTAGCAATTAATTCAGATTACATCAAAAATCATAAGTATAAAATATGCTTACTCAATACAAATGGATTAAAATTTAGATTTTATCATCATTGCCTAAATAACTAAAAATGAATAAATAATGTCTAAGATTTTTGATGACAAGATCTGAAACCCGTCAAAGAGTGATAGCTAACTTTTTGAGACTAGGAGCAAATTTTGATGATTTTTTTATATTAGTTAAAACGATAAAAAAACAAAGGTTACACTAATTACTATTTTTAAGAAAAATTTTTGAAAAAAAATAGAGCAGTCCATTATTTTACGAGCTAAATATAGTCTCATTTACTCTTTTATTTACAATACGTCATTCTCATTATTGTATAGAAAAATGATGAAACCCTAGATCAAAACTCTCAAGTAAGGAATATCTATATGTATAAACAATAATGATAGTAAACTAGGGAAATAAATGATTTAACTTTTAGGAACTTTTTCATGCAATTTTACTTCTACAATAATAATCATTATTATTATAATATGAATAAAAATATTTTTATTTTAATCATTTTGACAATTTTATTTTAATTTTGCAATTTGTCGGAATGAATAATTTAATAATAAATTTCTTCAATTTTTGGATCTACTTTGTTTTGATTATAAGAACAAATAATTAATATGAATGGTAAATTGCATATTAGCAAAAATATACCATCTATTTCACCTTTTTTTTCTATCAAAATCGAAATCAAAAAAAATATTTTGATTTTGCATAAAATAATTCTAAAAATAAAAATAATAAAATTTAATATTTTAAATTATAATTGATGATTTAATTACAAAATTTTTATTGTTTAGATCAAAATAAAGACCTCCCCCTATATCATTAACAATATTATTCATTATGATGCAATAACCCATAATAATAGGAGTTCGATAGAAATTATGGCTTTACCTCTATTCACAATATTATCAATAAAATTTGAATTAGTTACTTCAATATATGATGATGATATTTAGGTTGATTGAGCAATTGTTTCTCTTTATTTTTATTCGGTTAAATATATAATTATTCTTGTTTTAAACACTCTTCTGAAGAAGAGTTTCTAACATTTCTTTTTAAAATTATTTTAGACATTCATAAACATTTAAATTTTTTTCAACTGTTGATATTGTCAAATTAATAAACTTTTAAAAATGAATAAAATTTGAAAAATCAAAAGCTATGTTTAGAGAGCCAAATAAGGTTTGGAGTTGGGAATACTAAATTTTGAAAAATATGCAATATATACAGTTTGAACTGTTTGTTTAACATCGATAATATTAAATGAGTAAAAATTTAAGTGTAATCTATCCAAAAATTCTATAATCTAAATTCTAACTTTCTTTTTAATCAAATTCACAATTATTTTTAACTGAGAAATATATATTAATACTTGAAATTCTTTATATAATTTTATAGATATTTGAATCTCAAATGTAATATTTGTTATTAAGCCTAAAGAATCTTAATATATTTATAAAATAGAGGTGTAATTATAAAAAGGACCAAATAAATTCATATATAATTAGTAATATATTTAAAACATTTTAAGGAAATGTATTTATTATAAAATATGTATTTTAAATCATGAAACAACTTCAAAAATTAAGTGTGTTGCTTTTCTGAGATTTTTAAGCTTTTGTTTTTTCATTCTTTGAAGGCAATTTTATTTAATTCTTTGATAAATCAAAATTATATATTTAATGAAAATCCATAGTAAGCCAGAAATTAAAAAATAGATTTAAGAAAAGCCCAATGTTATCTGATTTTATGCATCAATCAAGTAATTGTAATCAAGTAAGTAAAACATTGAAGTAAAAGTAAATGCTATAATTGAGATTTCTTAAATAATAATTTGAATTTTTTCCAAAGTTTATAAATTAAATTCTACTTTTATTAATACAATTAAGTAAATTAGATTTGTTGTAATTAACATTACTAATTGAATAAATTAATCCTTTTGAAAACATATTAAGTAATAACAAAAGAAAAATTGTTTTATTAAGTAAAGTACTTTGTATCTATTATTCAACCTTTATTTTTTTTTTAAAAAGGAATGCTTTAGTAGGATGATTAATGTATATCCTAAGGATGCCAAAAGCAAATATGAAAGGATAGCTTATATTATGGAAACTTTATCATTACCTGATTGTGAGGTTAAATATAAAAATGTTTTAAAAAGTAAATCCCAGGCATTTGCTAATAATATATTTTGTACACCATTTAAGTTAAATTAGCAAGCAAAAATAAAAATTTGATGGAAAATATTATAAATAAAACTTTAGATTTTAAATAGGATTTTCTATGTCAAACTTTCAAATTTAAATGAAATGAATTTCTAAGTTCTTTTTTTATCACATAATTTAAGAAAAATATAACAAATAGTTTTCAATAATATTGCTAATACAAATACTGTAAAAACTTAAATGAAAAAAAATTAAAGATTTGTGATTAAATGAGCATTTAAACTATAGTATTTTAATTTATATTAAGATTAAATATAGTCTTAATATAAATATATTTCAAAGTTTTCACGAATTGTAAAGTATTCTAAAATTGGATTGATACTTATAATATTAGTTGATTCAAAAAATAGGTAAAGATTTTCTGGATAATTAATATTAATGTATTTTAAATAAGAAATATACTGTAAGTTATCTAAAATTTCAACAAGCATCTAGAAATTTCCAGAAATTATACTGATTACACTCATTATTCCCTAAGTTGTAATCATAACTTGTTAATATTAAGTGAGTTTTCTTGTTTTATCGAAATCAGCTTAAGTCATTTAAATGTATTCTTTTAGTATAATTTTCTAGAATGGATTAATTAATTTCATATCATTTTAATTAAGTGCTTCATTTACGAGTAAAATATTAGATTGTGTAGTATTAGTAGAAATAAAAAGTGTTATTTCTAATATGAATTAATAATTTAGAATTTAATTAATAGTTGGCTAATAATTTGATTCTAATTTAATTGCATAATCTTCATTTTTTATGTTATCAATATTAATATTAAATAGTGATTCAAGAACGTAATTATCGTTGAAATAAATCTCTTAAGAGAATGATATTTAAATATAATATTTATTAAATGTTTAGTTTAATAATTTCAACATCATATAAGGAGATTTGTAATATTGACATTCAGATTATCCATAATAATTTTCATGACATTTATAATGAACTTCTATTTGACAATTAGAAGAACAACCATCAGCATCAATAATATTGCCATCATCACATTATTCATCCTAATATTTAATACCGTTGCCACAGTATTATTCATAGCATTAATGATCTATTAATTAGAATTATTGTTCGCATTTAAAACAAATACCATCAAGACAATTTAAACAATTAAGAGGACATGAATACTGACAATTAAAGCATCCATCAAATTAGATATTATTTCCATCATCACACAACTCTTATTATTATTCAATGCCATCACCACAAATTGAATTCTAAATTTCATCAATATTAATATCTTAATTTGAATAATCATCTAAACAAGTACTTTTATCACATATTTTACACTCTTTGTTACAAGTTAATTAACATTCATGTTCTATCACTATATAAGACTCATTACAAACTAAACATTCTTTGGTATTTTAACAATATTAACAATTTTAAGGACAAACAATATTACAATTTAAGCAATCATCTAAATTTGAATCGCATTATTCTTAAGATATAATAGCAACTTGATTATCTCCACAAATTTGTACGCAATATCCATTAAAAAGTTACCAACCATCCTTACATAATATACAATATGAGTTTAAACATTATAGACATTAAATCTGACAACTCTCATGACATTTATAGCAACCGATTTCATTTGTACTCGTATGAATTCCATCTTCAAATAAAAATATTCCTTTAGTAATTCTAGAGATGCATTAATTTTTTAACAACAAATAATTGTCTAAGCATTTCATACATTTTCCATATACACAAACTTCACAAAAAGGTTTACATTAAAATTAAAACATCTCAAATTCATTTATTAAAATTGATCTTTCATAATAGTAAATAGCAATTTATTTTAAATTTATATCACCGTAATAAGTTGAAGAAATTTAATTTCCCTTTAGATTATTATTTTATATTAGAACTGTTTCTTCAAAGAAATTTTAATAAATTTGATTACATATTCCATTGAAATAATAGTAACCTGTTATACACACTTAACATTAACCAAATATACAATTTTAACAATTTAAAGGACATGAAAATTGGCATTAATGACAACCATCAAATGGAAAATCATTCCCATCATCACATTACTCATTTGCTATAATATATTTATCTCCACATAAAGGTTCGCAATTATTATTTAATTCATTATAAATCCACTAAGTATCACACATAAGGCATTCTCCTTTAACACAAAATATACATCCTTATTAACATGATTCTTGTTTAGCAAAACACCCATCAAAAGGTTCTAAATTATTATCAATACATGAGATTAAATTTATTGGACCTCGAAGTATTATTGACAATTCACGAATAGCTATTCTACCATTAATACTCCTAATTTCTAATTTAATTTAATTCCTTGAATCATTTATTATATCACTTCTATAATCAACATACTTTCTTGAATTACTAATAAATTCTAATTGCTATTCATCATTTAAATAAATTCTAAATGTTTATGGTAAATTTGAAAGATATTCAACTCTAAATTGAATAATGAAAGACCTATGATCTGGAAGTATAAAATTATTGATTGCTGATTCTCCTTAATTTATGCCCAGCATTTTTATTTAAACTAAATATAATTTATAAATTTACAATAGTTATTAGTTATATATTAAAACACTGGAAAACTATTTTTTATCCAACCTTCAAAACCATTGTTTAGATTTTATAAATCAAAGTGTGACTTCCATAATATCCACATTGTACAATCTACAGTTGAATCTAGACAAAATTGACATCCTGAGTAACATTCAAGTACTGTTAATTCGAAATCTGTAATTCCCCAAAAATTCTAACATTTAAATATTTAAATAAATACATTGTTATTACAGTCTGAGAAAAATCTGGCAATAACTGAATTTAATGTATGTTGCCTATTACTGAGATGTATTGGAGAATTTTAATCTGCTCCAGAACCACCGCATAAATTAGGTCCTGTATTTGCTGTATAACGCCAACTCTAGGACTATTAATCTGCAATTATATTAAAATTTTAGGTTGCTAGCCAATCATCAATTCTTAATATAAAATAATATTCAACTTCCAGTGTCTAATGTCAATGCGTAAATTGTAATGAGGAGGCAAAATAAAATATTTCATTAATTCAGTTCTTGCAGTTGAAAAACATCCAAATACTTAATAACCTCCAAAAATTATGTTTCCTGCACAATTAGTTAAAAGAACAGTCGCTCCATTATAAGGATTTTAAATTTTCCATCCTATATTAATCATAATAAATTACCTTCATTATTGGATATTTAAGAAGTAACAAAATGCTGAATATATAATGCTTCAACAAGCACTTTAAAGCATTTAAAATAAAAGAACTGCTTTATCATTAAATAAATATTAAATAAATGCCTAAAATTTCTTTAAAGGTATTTAAAGTCAATTTTATATTACTAAACTATTTTTCTTCTTGCTGTAGTTAAATTTATATTTATTCAGAAGAATCATAATCAAACTAAGCTTATTTTTCTTAGAATAGTTTGATTTCTGTAGTTAAATCAGAATTTTTGAACATCATAACATTTAAATAAATTTTATTTTATATAAATAATTGCAACAATATCTTATTTTTTGCCAATAAGGATGTGCTGAATATGATTTTGGAATTCCAAATTTATACTATTATATTACTTTAAACTATTTCTTTTATAGATTTATTCATAATACAAATTTCATTATTATTATCTTATAATTACATTTAAAAAAAATTGTTGTGTTTGTTACTTTGCTTTTCAATATCCTACCTGTAAACACCAAGGTAATGTAATAAGTGTTAATTTTCCTGAAAAGGTAGCTTGTATTAATATGTTAAAATTACACAAATACTCATTTTAAAATCATTTATTATTTAATAATTAAAATGAATGTGGATAATGTAATAATAAAATATATGATTATGATTCATAAAAATGTATGATAAAATTAAAGACTAGACTTTTAAATTATCAATAATTCGTACAATTTTATTTAAACAGTAATGTATAATCACTAAATGATTAATTAAAATAGTTAATTTTAAGATTATTGAAAACCTTCTTCCAAACTTTTTCTTTAGAATTTCTTTCACACTTTCAATTCGAAGAACCATTTTTAAAATAATAAATTAATCTAGTATTTAATACAGAAATTTATGAAAGCAATAAAATCATTTTATTTAATTGATAATTTATTTCTATATCATCCAAAAATCAAAAAGCAGTACATTCTAGTTAAGATTTTTTTTAAATAAATAATAAATTTTCTTCATTTTTTCTTGAAATTAAAACCGTTATAATATATGACTTTGATAATTCCTCAATAGTTTCTAAACAATTAATATTTGATTTTGCTAATGTTTCAAAGTATTATAACCTGTTCTTTTTGACGAATGAAGAAGCTTTAAAAAATTGAATCTGTCTTTCTGTCTAAATCGCATTTGTATCCCATTAAAAGAAATTCACAATCATTACTCATTTAATTCAATTCCTATAAGGCTTCTTATTTTATTTATAAATATTACATCCAAACCAAACCTGAATATCCGAAAATGATCTTTTATTTGTTATATCGAATGTAAAAAAATAAAACCATGCGCATTTCTATCTAGTGACTTTAGAAAGTGAGTTCCAAATCTACCATTACAAACAGTATCCCGACTTACAATTTGATATTCTAGGAATCTATTTAAAGTTTTTAGACCAAACATGAATTTCTGTGGAAATCCAATATTTTTCTTAAATTAATTATTAATTACTCTTTATACAAAAGATTGCTATTTTTATTCATTATAAGATACCTTTCCAGATCCTGCAGGTCCTAAAATTATTATTTTAATATAAGTTTTTCTGCTTTATCTTCTAAATTTAAAATTGATCTCAAAATAAAATCTCCAATTTGAAATTTAATTCAATAAAAATAAATCAAATTTAATAATTTAATTTTTAACAAATTGATGATGAAAATTAAATTATCTCTATTACAATCTATCTCTCATGTACAATTTTAATCTTTTATATTCTGTTTAAGAAGTTCAAAAGTTTGTTTATTTCGATTATTACTGAATTTACTGAATGTAATTTTATAATAAAGTATTAATCAATTGCTTCTTCACTTTATTATTTTTGGAAACTAATAATTATTTCAGAATAAGTAATCTCTGTTCATCAGTCTGAAGTATTGAGTTGTTATGAAAGAGCATTTAATCAAATTTAATGTCCGAGAGAAAATTCAGATTGTAGCAATTCTTATGTCTCTAAAATTTCTACATCATCTAGTTAATTAATTTCAATCTTTGAATACAGGCTAATAAAACAATGAGAAAAAGGTTTTTTATTGCTATCTGAAATAATAATTTGTTATTTAGAAATAGTGCAAAATTATACAGATTAAAATCAAAACCTTATTGAGAAAATGAATCTTTTAGAGGAATCATCTGAATAGCAAAATAATCCCTTCACTTTAGATTTATAAGTAAACAAAAATTTTTTAAATATTGGTTTTTTTATATTAATTTATCAAATTAATAGATTAAGCAAATTAGTTGGAGGAATATTTAAACCTTTACAGTTATTAAATTTCCAAAAATCCAGAAAGCTCGTTAAACTATTTTATGAAAGGTATTTTAATTGTTATTATAGAGCAAATACTTTATTAATGTTAAATTATTAAGAAGAAGCTTTAGAATAGTATAATATTGCAATCTTAAAAAATAATAAGCTTCCAGATTATTATTTTAATAAAGGTATAGATTATTCAAATGATAAAGCGATTACCTTAAGTAAAATGAACCGATTAGAGGAAGCTCTTAATTATTATGATATTGTGATTTCTCTTCTACCTTTAGACTCAAAAAGTTATATAAATAAGGGTGATGATTAAATTTTATGAAAGCAATCATTTTAATTTTGCTAATTAAGGGAATTGAGATTAGAATAGATTTTAGGAAGCTCTTGAGTTTCAAAAATAATAGATTACTATTTTAATAAAGGTTTCATGATTTTCAAACCCATAATAGCTAACATTTTATAATATATGAATCGTTTAGAGGAAGCCTTAGAATTTTATGATTATTCTATTCAGAGAAACCCTTAAAATTCTAAAGCTTTCATAAACAAAGGTTTCTGTAGATGCTATTTTAGCTAAAATTTTATGATTGTAGGAATGATAAATAATAGTATATTCAAGATGAATCTTTTAGAGAAGGCTTTAGAATAAAGTAATTATGCAATCAATTTAAAACCAGATATATCTGATTATTATTTTATTAAAGGTTCAAATGATAATATTATTAATAGCAAATATTTTACAAAGAATGCAGCATTATAATGAAGCTTTGGAAAATTATGATCTCGCGATCCATTTAGATCCTGAAGCCTCAAAAAATTATTTGAATAAAGGTTTTATTGATATTAAATTTAGCAATCAATTTATAATTAATAAATCGTTTTGAAGAAGCATTAGATAGTTATAATCTAGCAATAGAAAAAAACTCTGAAGATTCAAAATGCTACATTAATAAATGTTATATTCTTTAATACTTCTTTAGCAAATGTTTTACTATTATTGAATCGTTTTTAAGAAAGTTTAGAATTAATTAATTCAAGAATTTAAATGCAACCTGAAAATTCAGATGTTTATTTTACAAAAGGTAATTACTAAATTTTCATTATTTAGCTTGCATTCTAGAAAAAATGAATCGTTTTGAAGAGGTTTTAGAATATTACAATTATGCCATTTAAAATAATCCTGAAAATTATCTTTATTATTTAAACAAAGGTTAAATAGAAATTTATTATAAAAGCAACTATCCTACAATTATTGAATAGGTATGATGAAGCCTTACAAATTAATGATGATGCCATTTAAAGAAATCCTGATGATTCAATATGTTTTTGCAATAAAGGTTCAATTCAAATAAAAATCTATAGCTAATGTCTTACATCTGATGAATAGCTTTGAAGAAGCCTTAGTGTTTTATGATTACGCAATTTAAAAAAACCCTCAAGATTCCAGTTTCTATTGTAAAAAGGGTAATAATCTTAATAATTAATTAGCAAATACATTATTAAAATTGATTAGATTTGAGGAAGCATTATAATGTTGTACTTAAGCAATCTAAATTTAGCCTAATAATATAGATTGTTATTGTGTTAAAGGTTTTCTTAAAAGATATATTCATAGCTCACATTCTACATGAAATGAAACTTTTTGAATAAGCATTGGAATTGTATGATGAAGCTATTTTAAGAAATCCCTAAAAATCTGATTGCTATTTTAATAAAGGTAATATGATTAAATGATAATAGCAAATCTATTATGTGAAATGAATCTTTTTGACGAAGCTATAGAATATTATGATAAAGCAATTTAACATAATCATGAAGATTCAAAAAGCTATTTAAATAAAGGTATTTAAATTAGTTATTTTAGCGAATTCACTACTATAACTAAATCGGGCAGAAGAAGCTTTATAAATAATTAATTAAGCTATTTTATTAAATCCTGAAGATCCCAAAGATTACTTTTGTAAAGGTTTAAATAAATATTTTATATAGCAGCAATTACATTATCTAAACTCAACCAGTATTAGGAAGCCTTGGAATATTATGAAAATGCAATATAATTAAACTTTGAAGATTCCAATCTTTATTTTCATAAAGGTATTTTGCTTATCATTAATTAGCTAATTTGCTAATTTTGCTATTAATAACTTGAAACCTTAAAATATTTTAATGAAGCAATTTCAAAAAATCCCGAAGACTCTAAATTTTATTTACCAAAAGGTTTTTTATTTAATAAATTGCAAGTAAAAACGCTATTGAATTTAAACAATTTAGACGAAGCTTTAACATATATTTCAGATGCCATTTTAAAATAACCTGATAATCTGATAATCCTGATTACTATTTAATTAAAGGTTGAAATTTTTATAAATCAATAGAAAACATTCTATAATAAAAAAATTAGCATTAAGAATCTTTAGAATAGATTGACCTTGCAATATTATAGAGTCCAAATAACTCTGATTATTATTTTGAGAAAGGTTTTCACTAAAATTTATTATATAAGCAAATACATTATTTTATTTAAATTCGTTTGAGGAAGCCTTGGAAATTAATGATAAAGCAATTCTCATAAATCCTAAAAATTCAGAATTTTATTTAAACAAAGGTATATATGATGAAATTTATTAAAGGCAATATTTTATAATAGTTGGTTCGGTATGAAGAATCACTTGATTGCTATAATATGGCAATCAATATTAATTCATTCAATTTTGGCTATTATATAAATAAAGGTTCATTTATATTTTATAATAATTGGTATTCTTTTAGGGAAATTGAATAGATATGTTGAAGCACTAGAGTGTTTTGATAATCCCTTATCCAATAAGTCCTAAAGTTTTGAATATTATTTCAATAAAGGTTAATATTTTGCTTTAATTTTCCAGGATATCTTTTACATTAAATGGGTAATTTAGAAGAAGCATTACAACTTTATGAAAATGCAATTTCAAAAAATTCTGCTTAGTCAGTTGCTTACTTTAATAAGGGTTAATAATGATATTATTTAATAGCAATAACCTTAGAATAATTAAATCGTTTAGATGAAGCTTTGGAAATTTTTAATATAGCGATTAATAAATTTAAAATGCTTTATCATAAAAAATAATTGTAAAGAGAATTCTATTTCTTTTTTAGGTGACTCTTATTAAAATAGATTGTATCTGATTATAAAATTGCTTAGGATAATTAATTTCTTTTGTATGTTAATCATGTATTTTGTTAAGTTTATAGTCATTATTATTCAATTAAACTTCCTTAGCGTCATCTACATCACTCTAAAAATTAAATAATCGATATTCTAATACTTTCAGCTGCTCTTACCTTATTTCTTAAGCTGTTGTATAACATAAACACAAACTATTAAATGCGAAAGTATTAGTAATCTTGTTTTCTATATCATCTCAAGTTATCAGATCCAATTATGTAATCTAGTTTTAATTAGATATTATTATTACTTCTTCTCGATTAATGAACTATTTGATTTTACTAAAAAAGATACTACCATCAATAGATGAACTTATTAGATAACTAAAGATGTATCAACTTCTAAGACCATGTTCTAACCCTTCTAATGATAAACCTTTAATTTCTATTATGAAACACCAATAACAAGATCGTATTCAAAGTCATAACATAAACTTTGATACTTGTTTTGCTTTTAGGCATGTTCTAAGATTCTTTCTCCAGAAAGTAAATTTCTTATGAAATTAACAGATTGTCCTGAAATATATTTAATTAATTTTAATACTTTATCAATAAATAATAGATCCTTTAGATTTGTTTAGTGATTAGGCAAGACATTAATCATTTTATATGTTAATGGGTTATACAAATAAATTTGATTACCATTAACAGCTGCTAAAATTTGACCTCCTTCACTATATGTAAGTGCATTACAAACTTTAGTAGCCTCATTATGGACTAATGTAAGATCATCATCTAGGATAAAATAGAATCGAAGCCTATATATAATGAATATTTATTTAATTACCCATCCTTAAATTCAATTGCGCATTAATAACTTAATGGATGAATAGCCATTCGTAATGCAGTTTCGTGGAATTGATGTGAGAACATTTCTTTAAAATCATTAGAATAATTCCAAAATTTTATATTCTTATCATCACACACTGATGCTATTAAGATCTCATAGGAGTTGTGGCAATATTAAAATTGTATCCTTGTGAACACCTTTTTCAAATAATGGTTCAAATGGAAATTTTTTAAACTGACTTTACGATAATGGCTAAATTAAATTTAAATAATTCAATTTCCAAGCTTTACTCACATGAAACAATATTATTCAGCACTTATTACGATACTAGCGCTGCTTGATATGCAGAACGATTAAAATAAATCATTGTTAAAGCTGCATACATCTCATTGGTAGCCAAATGAATTTAATGCCATAGATATTTTCATCCTTTATAAAAATAAGTACCGACCAAATTCTAAACATATTATTCTTGTTCTATAACATCCTATTCATTTTCATAAACTTATAATGCAGTTTTGCCTATTAATATAATTATGAACCCTTTATTGGTCTTGGCTATAGAGATTCGAACATTCACTAATTTTTCTTATTCTGTTGGCTTATTTTTATCCTTGTTAATTTATTCTATAATATATATATTAAGATGATTACATAGTAAATGAACTAATTTTAGTTTAAGACTTTCATCAAACAATTAATTTTTCGTTCTAACTAAGATATTTTATACTAATTTATATTTGCTAACAATGCCCTTTTAGAAAGTATTATTTATTTATAACTTATTTAGCTAACCCCTTTACAATCCTTAGAATATCCTAGACACCAGTGCTTTAAGCTGAAAATGCTCTTATTTTGAAAGGAGAATTCGTAAATTATGGAGGAGTAGATTTAAAATCTTTACTAAAATCAAAGGGAAGCCTACTTTTGAATGGCTCGATATAAGAATAATAATAAAAGAAATGAATATTATTAAAAACCATATCATAAAATAAACAATTAATTTATATTTCATCTAATAATAATTACTTTATTAACGCTTTTAACCATTGCCGAATAGATATATCCTGTTGTTAACATTATAATTATAAGCACTATGGACAGTTAAATGCTTAATATGCTTTTTGATAGTTTTGTCTTAATCCTATATAGTCTAGGGTATTATAAAGGTAATTTGGACAATAATTTTATTGTAATATTATATAATAAGTTTTAATTAATAAATTTCTTAAACCCTTTACGAAGTATGAGTAATTTATAGGTACCACAAACCCATAAGAACCCAAACCAAATTTAAATATTTAAAGGGTGCTTTTAAAAGGTTTTGAAAAAGGCTTTGCATTGTTTTTTTTTTGTAAAAAAAGTATGAAAGCGTGCTCAGTGAGGGTGTTAAAAAAAAAAGAGGCCAAAAATATTTATTAAAAATGGGGCCTTGCCATTTTGATATATTATTTTTCAAAAGATCTAATTAAAGTTCCATTAATAGCTTAATTAAAGATTCTTAATTATTATTTTAAAACTTCTAATAAAAATAACATTATTAAGTATGTTCCTTTTTAATCTCATGTTATATCTTGAATTAATCTCCAGCAATTTTATGCTTTTAATCAATAAAAATGGCTATCCACCCATTTAATTGTCAGTTATTTACCATAAACTTACACTACAGTATAAAATTAGAGAAATTAAATTAATTAATTTTCCATATTACTATCATTGTCACCAATATAAAAAATACACTTACATATTCGAATTAGAATTTTTCAATAACATAGATGAAAATCTAACAATATTTATTGATAAAACTGGATCAGCAATAGTTCAAACAACTTAAAAATTTAGATTTCTATCTAATATAGCTACTTTTGAAATTGTCTTATTATAATATTTATAAATTATGCTTTATCATCTAAATTTGGAACTGCAAAATATCTACAATCTAAACTCAAACCAAGTTGTCTGTCTCTCTTTATAATATTAGAGAAAGTAGAATCAATTGAGAGACATATTTACAGAAGACAATATCAAAATGCAAAAAACTAGTTCAATATAATAAATTGAGGTTGACAAACACTAGAATAACAATGATAAGAGCAACAGAAAGATTAGCACACTTATACAAGGAATGGATTGCTTAGATACTAATAATCTTGATGAATAGAAAAAATTGAAAATAGGAAAGGAATCTGAGATATTCTCTAATAGTTAAGATTATCTGAAACTAAATTGTGTAGATTAAAATTAATGCTCTACATTTATATAGAAATAATGAGTTAAAATACCGAAAATTTATCTTAATCTTCTCTATATGTTTTAATCTAAATTAAATATTGTTTAATTGAACATTAATTGATTCAACTAAATAATTTTTTCATTTTTAAGAAATTAATACATTTTATTTATTAATTCAAATTTAATATTTTTTTCCTTTAATATTTATTTTAAATAAATCAAAAATTTTCATTTTATATTTTAATTCGAAATGGATTAAGAAAAAAATGTAATTTTTATATTGATCGAAATTAAACATTTTTTTAATTTAATATTTATTTTAATTAAATCAAATATCTTCATTTTATATTTTAGTCCAATAAAATATTATTCATTTTATATTGTAATTCTAAAAAGGATAAGAAATTAAATCAATTTATATTTTAATCGAAATTCAATATTTATTTAAATTTGTTTCAGTATTATTTATTTTTTTTGCAATTCTATAAAGAATTCATTTTATATTTTAATCGAATAAATAATGTTTTATTGTATATTTATTTTAATTAGTTCGAATATTTTTCATTTTATATTTTAATTGAATATCGTATTTTTTATATTTTAAA